TTGGTTAAGTTTGCACAGAGTGCTGGAATTAGTATTATTTTGCTTTAGGGTTAGGTTTAAGGTTAAGAGTGTGTTCGAAGTTAGGTAGGCATGCAGCTCAGGCTTGAGACAAGGTCTGATCTCTTGAAAGAAGACCAGCTGACTTGATCGATGGCAATAGGTATTGCCAACGCGTAAATCTGTTTTTCAGCCCATAACCTACATTCCTCTCATTGCCCCTGTTTGCATATTACAGGCCTACCTCGTAATCGTGTTCGATGTCAGCCGTGTACAGGTATTACCGTCTGGAACTTTGGGTGGCACAGGTATATTATGCTTAAGAAGGAGAAGAAGTCAGCGTCTTGCGTCTATTTCAATATCAAACTAGACAAAAAATTAATCTCATTAAAACATGGAACCGCAGGCGGACGAATTGACAAATTGGCGAAACCCGATGTTAGAGTATGTCCTTAATATCACTCACGCACTTCGCGGGTAAGAAAACTGCACGAAGCATCATCAGCTATTATGTGGCAATTTTTGCGACTGTAGTATTAATAAAATTTCCAAAAGAAAAAAACAAAATTCTGCTAAACGCTTGTTATCGGGTAAGATTGCTCACCTGCAACACTTCTCGCTGACCTACATTCCTTTCAGACAGGGCATCATGCGAGCGTGTGAAATGCGACAGAAGAAGAACAACCCACCGAGAGCGGATATCTTTGCAGATTTTCAGGCATTTAGCAGATTCGGGCCTGCTTCTGTCGTAGAACTTGCTTTGTGGCTGTAAGCCTGTTATTCAGGCGTATACTATGGTCATATTAAATGTTAGAAAACGAGCTGACTTGGAAGTTTACGATGGGTATATTCGTTTATTTTAATCGCAATTATGGCCGCACATGTAACTTTTGTATCATTAAAATGCATATTTCATAAGTAGTTATAAATTGACGTTTTAACTTACCATACTAACAGCCTACGTACTTGCACAACATGTTTTTGCAATAGTTCAGAAGGAAGCTCTGTTAAAACTCAGCACACTGACGTCAGATCAGGCAGCACTAATTATTATAACAATCCTACTTAATGCGATTTTGCGAGTGCTTATCAACCTTCCACCAATTTAACTATTTGTATGAGATTGTGTTCGAATTGTATATTCCCTTGCAGCAGGAATACTGCAGAACAACAAGGTTATTGATATCCCTACGGATTTTTGCATGTAAGTAGACTAAATTATAGTCTAACTTTATCTTGTGTTTTTCCTCTTACACACCTACTGCTTAGTAACCTTCCAGCGTGACTCTCCAGTAATCTCCGACTTGATCGCGCCGATTTATAAACGCTTATTTACAAAATCGAAAAAGGAGTAGGGCAAGTTTTCGAAGATCCGCTGGGTTGTAACGTAAATGGCTTCAACAAATTCGACTAACATTTAGTATAGATTGTTCTTGGTTAAAAACGGCCATATCATTTTCACAAACAGTCCACACGACGTGTATATTACAATCTAGAATATGATATATTATAAATAATAACTTTCCCAACAGTCTGTCGACGAAAACTATCGTGCTGTGGACATGCTGCGTCTAAGAGCAGTTTGACCCCTTGATGCCCGACGGTCAAATAATTATAGATGCTTTTGTCAGCTCATGTTAATATTTTTTAAGTTCTTGCCAATCCCTCCACCTTCGATTTCATAATTTTCTCTCATCTAGAACATTGCTTGCAGTGAATCACGTATATTACAACAATAATAAAATCACATAGGGTGATAAAACCTCAGGATGGATTTTAAGTGGTACTGTAACTAAACAA